AATTCATCAATTACATCAGGTTTCAAAATATAAGAATAGACAAGATTTGTATGTACTACCCATTGATTCTATATTTAAATCATATTTATACGTTTGAACTTGAACTCTCTCTCTCTGTCTGTCTGTCTCTCTCTCTCTCTCTCCCTCTCCCATCTCTCTTTCAGTCTCTTTCTATCTATCTATCTGTCTATCCATCTATCTATCTCCCCCCTTTCTCTCCCTCCTCCCTCCCTCCCCTCCCTCCCTCCCTCTCTCTCTCTCCTCTCTCTCTCTCTCTCTCTCTCTCTCTCTCTCTCTCTCTCTCTCTCTCTCTCTCTCTCTCTCTCTCTCTCTGCCTCGAAATGTCAGAGGCTGCACATCTGCTTATTACAGCTCGCATTCCTTCGTTGTTTATGGTATGTGACGGTGAGAGGACCTGTGGCAGTAGTTATCACAGGACTTCCCATCTTGTGTTTGTAAGTGATGCGTACTCCTGTTTTCCCCCTTTTCATTAAAAAATATCCACCCGAGGTTTTACCAGAAGGTCTAAAATAGTCTATTCATATCCTCTAGAGTATAATCAGAGGGAAATTTGTGTTGAAGATTGCATTATGGGTATGAGGTGATACACATACAGAAGAGAGAGAGAGAGAGAGAGAGAGAGAGAGAGAGAGAGAGAGAGAGAGAGAGAGAGAGAGAGAGAGAGAGAGAGAGAGAGAGAGAGAGAGAGAGAGAGAGAGAGAGAGAGAGAGAAGGGCAGGCAGCAGGCAGACCAAGAAACAGAGACAGAAAAAAGAATAAGGAAACAGAGATAAAACCTTATGCTCTCCTCTGTATCACGTCTATATCCCTGCTGAGCTGTTCGTGGATAAGAATCAAGTCGACGTTCCTTGCCTCACGATATGCGCGTTAATCCGCAAATTATGTTTCATTACACGAACGCTCTCTCACAAGTGCATGGAGATGTTCAGTGAAACCAGAAGCATTTTGACTGTTTTATAAGGGATAAGAGTATAAAATTACAAAAAAAGGATTATGGAATACATATCTGAAACAAGAAAACAAAAAGATTACAAAAAATATATCCGTTTGATATTAAAAATGCCATTTAGAACCACACGGACAGGCACCAGTTAACTGCGACACACTTCTGAACGAATAAACACATACACACACGCGCTCGCACACATACACACAAACAAATACGTATACACGAACTCCCCCCCCCCATCCCCAAACCGTCCAGAGGCACAAACATCCTGCCACCCCCCACCCCTCCCCCCCTTACGCCCGTTCTCAAATGTGAGGATACTATTTTCGTCGCCTTAACCATGAATAAAAAATGAAATCTATTGATGGAAAGACTGCCATCTCTCGCGGAATGATCTTTGTTGTAGGTTTTAACGCAACACTTTTCATAGAGTTCCGAAAACAGAAATAGGCTCGGTCGATAACAGTTAACCTAAAAAAGTAATACATAGAAATTGGTACTACAGATTAAGGTTAAGTGTAAGATGAAGTAAATAGGATAGACGAGGAAGAAAAGGATAAAGCGACACAAAAAATAAATAGAAAAGACAACAAGAAAAACAAATATCATATATTAATAAAAAACACACATATATATACTTATATGTATACATGCATTCATACATATGTATATATATATATATATATATATATATATTATATATATATATATATACATATATACATATATATATATATATATATATATATATATATATATATATATATATATATATATATACATACATACATATATACATATAATATATATATATATATATATATATATATATATATAATATATATATATATATATATATAATATATATATATATATATACAAATACACAGAAACGTAAAAATATATATATATATATATAACCCAGTCAATGACTAAGGATAACCAGTTTGATTTGAATACCTCAAAAGCGAGAAAAACAGATGGCCGCCATTGTTAGGACAGAATTCCCAGCAGAAACCATGCTTTTGTATCCCGATCTCGCATTAAACTTATCTCAAAAAGGGAGATAAAAGCGCCAAAAAGGGAGATAAAAAAGGCAAATCATATATCAATATCGAGTGTCTGGCGGAATGCACGAGTCCGGACAAGGAAATGAATTATGAATGTGTCGAGGGGGGGAGGGGTATGGGTGAGGGGGGGGGTAAGGGAGGGGAGGGCGGAGGGAGAAGGAGAAAGGGGAGAAGGGGGAGCGAGAGAAGGAGGAAGGGGAGAAGGGAGAGAGAGAAGGCAGGAAGGGAGAAGGGGGGAAAGAAAAAAAAAAGGAAGAGGAAAAGGGAGAGAAGGCAGGAAGGGAGAAGGGAGAGAGAGAGAGAAGGAAGGAAGGGGAGAAGGGGAGAGCGGAGGGAGAAGAGAAGGGGAGAAGGGGAGGAGAGAGAGAAGGGGATAATGGGAGAGGGAGGGCTACAGGTAAGGATAGGTGGAAGAGGGGGATAGGGAGGAGGAAGAAGGGGAAGAAGAAAAAGGGGAGGG